GAATGCGAATTAGTTTTCGATGCTAATGAAGGCGTTTCATCGTCAACGATGACACATTGCATATCGCTTCAGTTATCTAGTTAGTCCATTAAGCACTTCATTCTTTCGCCATTAAATCTCATGATTTTCCACCACTTCATTTTGAAAAGCAGTATAGATCGGTTTCTGGGCGCGCGCATTAAATTCAATTTCGAGTATATTGTATGTAAATAAGCAACCTAATTTCAAATCCTTACCGTCACCGAAATTATTAATTGCAATTCAATTTACAATTTCAAGGTCGCCGACACCAGGATAATATTTTTCGCGTGCTCAATGGCGAAAGATAACATCGTGAGGAATTATGCAAATACTCGAAATAATTATAAAAAAAAAAATTGAAGATAAGTCGTCTGTCAATCAGCCCATGGATTGACAAACTTGACTTATGATATATGTGACACGTGGTGAACTACGCTCTCACAGCCATCCATTTATATGCAGAGAACTTGCCCAAAAGTTGGACTTATAGGTATAGGCTGTTGGTTTATTTACTTCATAACGAAATCGATTTCTTTGTAACCAGAATTACAAGGAGGGTGTCGGTTTTCCCGGATTAATCCGATGCGAGCCGTCGAGTGACGCTCGGCCACAGTACGACAAAGCACGTCGACTGGAAGTGCTCCTCGTGGCATTTTTCCCACACACCCCTAGACACATTCTTATCGTGCCAATTACCGAAAGGGGTTGCCTGGTGAAAGGCGAGCTGGCGGGACTCCTAATTAAGAAGCGCCCCCGCTGTTCAGCGTTTCATTCTTGATTTTGTCCCGAGTGCTCGGCTCTTGCCCGCGCCGCTGCTAGATTGGCGCGCGATCTTTTGACGTTTGTTTGGCGGTCGTTTTGTTTTTTTTTTAAATCGCTAGGTAACGTTATTTCCAGCCAGCTGCATTTTCCGTTTCTTTTTTATTAGATTAGCTTTTTAATTTTATTTTTTTTACCTCTTTGGACACGGACAATAATTCCATAATAATATGAATGTAAATTTATGTCTTAAATTTATAAATGTAAAGCGTTTGAAGTTCAATTTCAAAAGAAGAAAAGCTTGTTTATTTATTGGAAAACTAGGACGTTACGATTAAGAATCTTTAATGTTTATATATCAAATAAAGAAAAACATTGCTTGGAAAACCTTAAATACACGTTTACTATATTACTATAAAATATATTACTCACAGAAGTGCTAACTACAAGACTTCCTACGTAACTTTTAAACTCGTCGTCGTATAAAAATTCGACGTGTTATCACAGAAAAATTTTATTAGCGACTTGCAATTGTGAATACAATTTTTACTCGTTATTAGGACCGTGTAACGTTAATTGGTTTCTTATCGTGCATAGTGCTTTGCGAATTATTCGCGATAAGATCTACACAGCGGGGAGGGCGGAATCTAATCTGGGACCCCTACCGAGGTTCGAGTGTTGCCAGAAACAAGGCGCCTACTGGCAGAAAAGCGGTTAAAACGCTAACGGTTAATGGCGTGTTTAGTTGAACGCGATCGTTTCATATAGATTTATTGTTGTTAATATTGTGTATGTGAGACGAACATTGCGATTCCGATATCTTGATTTTCATTATGATCGCCGAGTAATTTTACTCTTTCACTTAATGTAACTATAATTTCATCAGTTGAAATGCACCTGATACGTTACCTCCTAAATGGTGTGTTTCGAATATTAATAAAACTTACTATCTACTACACTCTCATTTATATTGGTATTAAATTTATTGTAGGTTGTTATTACTCATATTTTTAATATAGTTTATCTTACATAATCAACAACATAACACAATAATTCTTCTTAGTTAATGGAAATGTTGGAGTCAGTGTAGGACACTGATTCCAACATTTAAATTTACTATGCCTATGTTCAGCAGCTTCAGACTTGAACAGTCTGAAATGATGATTATGAATAAAAGTTATACGACAGATCGATTTTCTATTATAAAAATCTATGTCAAATTTAATTAAATGTTGTTTGTCTGTAGTATTTAATTTTGTAATACAAGTATAAAAACCATAAAATTGTATAACAATAATAGTTACACTTTATTTATACATTATTGACTTTTTTTCAGATCAAGTGATTATCTATTAAGTTTTCCTCGTGGTGGTGTATGGTGCCAAAAAGTGTAACAAAATAACTAGGTACCAATAGATATATGTTATATTGTAACATTTTATAATACTGTACAATTCGTCTCCGTTTAATAAGCCAGCTTTAAATCGATACGCGAAATCTCCTTTTTGTGACAAGAAGCGTTGCACAAAGAAATTATATCGACCTCGGGGATCTGGGATCGTCAATTAGACTGTGTTCTGCGCGACCTATTCCGAAATCGGGTGCCCGGGGCGAAAGCGATTACCCGCCAGCGACCCTCGACACCGTAATAGCCCCCCACAATGCCCAAGTTACGCTGACAGATGACACACGCTACGACATTGTTTGGACGCGTCGACAATTGTACCTTTGCTACTGAATAGGCGATACATTGCACGATCCTCTTCAAATGTTTTCTCTAGGCAAATACAGCAATAGTTATATGTGCCAAATGCAGTTGTACGTCTGTTTCATTTTTTAGTTGATTGTAGAGAATCGGTATTGTCGTTTGTGTATTTATTGCTCTGTCCGTTCCATTGCGATAATATTAGACCATATGTTCCATAACGTAAATTCCTTGGAAACACAGAAATTTAATAATAAATAAAAGGCGATGGAATCCGTAAATTGGTGTCGTTTGTGAAATTGTAGCGTTCAACTTGGGAGCTTGGTTATGTATGCTTCTTTAGGCCTGATAAAGTTTCGCCGGAGAGCATATTCTTCCGCAGTGGAATCAAACAGGATGAAATTATGATGATGAAGCCAAAGCCATGATGATTTGATAGCGTCCCACGTACCTACGTCAGATATGTTTACGTGATAGGTTTTGTATTTCACCTTACCCTTACCAACATACATTTAAATTTAAACATCTCCTATGAGAAACCAGCAGTTGTATCCAGTAACGGTTTACAACTTATACGATTCTTTTATATCCGTCTACATCATAATCACTGCAGATATTATGTTTATCCAACAATGTCGTAGTTTCGAGTACATCCTGTAGGGTCCAATTATTTGTGAGAATTTCGATTCGGCAGCTGCTTTAATCTGCTCAGCATTAAGGCTCATTTTTGCGTGCAGTTCAATTTTTGGCAGATCCCGGTGCAAGTTGGATGCCATGTTTGTATAGCCACTTGAAGTTAAGGGGATAGCTTGTGAGAGTCTATTGGTAATTGTGTACTAATGCTTTTTAAGTGGGACGAGGAGGCTGTTGGAATATGAACAATAGCGATCGATGTAAGTGTGTTACAGTAACTTGTGAACCATCTTGTATGATGATTGAATGTGCAACGTGATGATAAATTGTTTTGAATTGAGCCCCAAATGTTGATTTTGTAAATAAAACAGTACTTGCAGTTGTCGCGTTTATTCTTTAATTTATTATTCCGAAGTATAAATCAGCATACGGTCACGGAACAATAAAGAAAATGCTTTTAAGTGTTCAAGATTATGGGAACTCGGTTGCAATTAACTTGATATGATATAAATGTTATATGTTTTTTAAAATCAGTTAGTATTAAACTGTATTTGTTTCAAATTCAAAAGTGCATTCCACTAGATGTAGACACAGGATGCATTATAAGAAAACAAAATAAAAACGACGAAAATATAACTTTACTTAAAAGCTGATATAAAAAGAGGAAAAAACTTAACTTATAAGTAGAGTTATAAATTGATGTGAATACTTGCGTTTACAAAATTTAACATAAATTAATTTAACACAAATAAATCATATCATTTTGTTCTCTTTGAGTTATAACTTTTTTCTCTTTGAGTTTTTGTTAATTTTGTTCTCATTATGTATATATTAGTTAGTATTTGTATTTTTTTATGTGCATTTGTTGTCAACCCACCAGGTGATTCACCTAATGTAAAGTGATTACCGCCACCCATGGACATTTGCAAAACCTGAGGGCTTTCAGATACAATGAAAACCTTAAATAAATCTAATAAACAAATAAATAAAATGTTATTAGAACGCATAACGCATAAAAAGGATAAATAACTTCTCAATTATAATAAACCCAAGCGTTCACCGAATAACTTGTCAACTTATTAGATCCTTGTATTCATAATATACTAGCTGATACCCGCGTCTCGTCTGCGTTGCTAACGCCGCTTGCCACACTTCTTCACGACAAGAAAACACACTACTTAACAGGTAGTGCTTTTGAAAATAGCAAAAGAACTTTTATAACTGTACAATAAATTAAAACATTACGACATTTTTAAAGTCAAGGACCATGTGCCTTAGGAATAAAATAAAATAAAAATAAAATTGAAATCTATCCAGTAGATTCTCCGTGTAGCTCACTCAACGACCTCTATCATTGTAGAACAGAATATAATATACGTTATTCTACACAAGGAAATACATAGAAAGAAAATACAGGAAACATAGTGTAACTATAGGCGGCCTTATTCCTCAGGAAGCAAATTCTTCTAGGCAACATTATTTTTATTTACATATACATAAATTTGCTTTTATCCCCTTTTATTTGCTCACATTACACGAATCGACCCGAATGGTGTAGTGGGTAGTGTATCTGCCCTTCTGCGTCAGAGGGTGTGGGTTCTATCCCCACTACTGGTAAAATATTATGTGACGAACATAGTATTTTTCTAGTGTCTGGATTTTATAATTGTATAATATGTATTTATTTACTAAAGAAAAGTATGTTTAAATATGTCTATAAAGTAAAAAAAAAGCGTTGCTTAGTTTGGGACTAGAGAACGTTGTGTAAAAATGTGTCCTAAAACATTTATTTATTTATTTAAATCCTTACATTGGTCATAACATTGTGCAATACGCTCTCGCCGCCTTCCGCAATCCAAACTAAGTTCAGCTTCGCACGCAGATATTACGAGACGGGGTCCATAAAGCCGCGCGCCATCGGCGGCTCCAAGCCGAGGGTGGCCACCACGCCAGTGGTGCAGAAGATCGCCGACTACAAGCGCGAGTGCCCCTCGATCTTCGCGTGGGAGATCAGGGACCGCCTCCTCAGCGAGAACGTGTGCAATAACGACAACATACCCAGCGTGAGTACTCTTCTAAAGCCAGCTGCCGCCATTTCGTATTAGTTCCCTCTTAATAAAGTCACTTAAAATAACAAACTGTAGCTCAATGTACCAGCGCTTCTTAATAAAACCACTTTAAATAACAAACTGTAGCTCAGTACGCTCGCTTTTAGACGCGTATACTCTTATTAGATTAGTTTAAATTTCAATGAAATTGTTAATTGCCATTTCAAGTGCCGATTTGCCACGTTATGCCAGTAAATAAAAACATCAAACGAAGTAGTTATCTCCTCGAAACAATAATAATAGTAAGTTATAGGTAGAATTGCCGATGACCTTAACTAATATATATATAATATATAAACATACAAAAACAAATTTACTGAGCATAAGCAATTATAAAACTAAAGTTAAAGAATATTATGTAAATACTTGCACTTATAATGAGTAAATAGCCTTTTCTTTACCCGGCAAGCTTTACAATGCTGTGTAAAGAAAAAAAATTATAAAATTAACTTTAAATTATATATTTACAGTTTTATCGTTTGTTCTCTACAGGACAAACATATGACGAAAGCCTTCGCAGGTGCATAACAATTTTAACTTTAATTTTGACTTTGACTTTAGTTCGACATTCATTTTTACCTATAAAGATTCTACTGTGCGTATTTAGACGGGTTTAAGACTAAAGTTCCAGTGATATCAGTATCAACATAATTATATCTGTTTACCCCATTAGGGATAAAAGAAATTCACGCATATAATGACATACAAAAATTGTGGTGTACAAACATTTTTTGTACGTCATTGTTCAAGCATGTATTGTATTTTTAATTTTCACGTAAGAATGCTTCACACGTTCCATCGTGTGAATAGACTTTCATTTTAAAAAAAGTATTCTAAGTTACGAACGTTTCGCAAATGTATTATTACTCTCTTTAAATAAAATGTAGCGTGCGCCCCTGAAACTGTCCCATAAACGAGGACACTGGACATCGTAAATATGTATAAAATTGACACCGATCTTGCGCATACAAAAGATACTCTGCTAAAGTGCTAATGATCCAAAAGTTACTTCAATAATTTTTGATGTCAATCAAGTGTCGTCATATTGGCAGGAATTTTATTAGCGAGCGTTCAGAAATTTTGAGCTAGTGTGTTCCCTTAAACTATTTTGAACTGTGTGAAGCATATTTTTAGATATTAAAAATTGAAATAATTTGATTATCAAATGTAAATCCATCGAATCGAGCTTTAAATTGTTTCGCTTTTCATTATTTCATTTTGTTCCATTTTTTAAATTACATACTGCCTAGTTAACTAGTTGAATGTCAGAATGATTTGGAAAGAATGTTTTAAATTCATAATCATGAATAGAAACTGAAGGAAAAACTAAATCATTAAAGTATTTTGTGTATAATAATACAAATTGAAACGAAACACAGTTCGTAATAACTGCGAAATGTATTGTAGGCAGTGTATCGCAAAGTTGGAATGCTTCATAAGCTTACGAAGTTAGTAAATACTGAATGTTATGCCTCAGAAGTTCAATCGAGCAATGTCCAATAGTTTGACTGTCTGTTGGAAGGGCAGAATGAGATAAAACCAATGTTGTATTTCTCAACGTTCGCTCATTAGAGAATGTCCGTGTCGACCTTGCTGTAAGGATTTTGTACATAATTTTAAATAAACTCGTCAAATATTGTTTGTAGAATTAAATTGAAATATTAAAGGTCAATTAATATACAATTAAGATTGCGTTTAATATGAATATTGTGAATCCTGAAAACTCGATCTAAAAAACTGATCACTGAAAATTAAATAATCCAATTAATAGTCCAATAATAAAAAAAAAATCCTTGTTCACTTTGATTCTTGCTTTTATGCATGGCAACGTTTTCGTATCGTGGGCAACGCCCACACTCAGACTTACACACTACTTAACGCATAGAAAAATTTAAGCTCGTTAACCGCTGCAGCTGATTGACACCTCTGAATGGCACATTGGCACGTTAAATAATTAAATATAGTTAACTTTTTTTATTTTGTCTGTTAGACCTTCCGTCAATGTTACGGTCTTTACGACATTACAAATAACGGTTTAAGTATTTGCAATCGCTTGACAATCCAATCTGTTCACATCTGTTTTCAATTATCTGAAGCTTTTGAAAAAAAATGAAGGAGACTATTATATACAAAAATCTCTACGTCAAAACACGTTTCAATATTTGTTGGATTTAATTAAATTCACTGAATATCTCGTATTTTCTATTGTTGTGATTGGGGTGACCACGTTTTTGTAGTTTTATGGAATTTTAATTGCCTTATTAAATATAAATTGCGCTAATGTCATGAATATGAAAGTTTATGAGTAGGAGTGTTTATTCTCTTGTCTATTAAAAAAATAATAAAAAAATTTGAGTAAATTCTTTCGTAAAAGCTACAAGTTCATAAATGTTTTCAATAGTTCGAATACAAATCAGTGTCAATTTAATGTTTAAGCTAATTTATGTTAAATTTGAAAAACAGTGTGTAGAATAATTATTGAATGAAAATATTATAGAAATGAAAAGTGCGTTCTAGAGCCGTCTTCTTAAACTCAAATATCATGGTTACACGATCGTTGAGGGCAAGTTACAATAGTTGTCCCATAATCCAATTTCGATACATTTAAAAATTCTAAACGCTCAGGCCGACCGGCCGCGTCCTTTGTCCATTGATCCAAGATGGACGCCAACATAATATGGTGTATTGAGACTGCATTATTGATGACGGTTCATAAAAATCCATTTCGCGAAGTCCGAAGTTGGATTTTATTAGGCCTTTGTCACGCACAACAGTCGAGTTATTCAAGGACGCGTTCATTTGTTCGATCGGCGATTCTGTAAGAGAACGTAGGAGTTAGGTTATAGTGGAGGAAGGTAAGATTTTATGTTCTTGGAAACGTTCTTTAGTGTTTCAAACGTTTTTCTATTGATTGAGAGGCTTTTATTATTTTCACAACGTTGAGTTTTATATGTTTATTTTCTGAGTGAGCTTCGTATTGAAGTTTTGATCCAGAAAATGTAGGTACATACCTATATTTCAAAAAATCTGAACAAGTATTCATGATTTAATCATTAATTATTGCCGCCTCTTTAAACGGTGGTAGGGCCACGCAGCAGCCTCGGCTGTTGCTCGAATGGACAGGCTCGTCCGGGTAAGTACCACGACCTCACAGAAGACCGGCGTAAAGTGGAAGTAAAATACTTTCGCGTTTCGTCGGGTAAGTGAGGTGGCCGGAGTCCAATTTCTAAAAGGTTGTCAACACATCTAGAACCCTCGAGTGTAGTAGATGTCCATGGCCGGCGGTATTCACTTGACATCAGGTGAACCGTCTGCTCGTTTGGCAACTTTTCACATTAAAAAAAATTCCTTTACACGCACACTCGGCATCAAAGTCCCGTGAATCACTTCACACATTAATAATATATTAACGACACTTAAAATCACCTTAGGCACATTTTATCCATGAGAGTTTAAACTAATTTAATACAGTTTTGACATGACGAAATCGTTTAACACGCTACTGACAACATCAATATAACTGTGTCAGTCATAACAAATGCAAAATGAAATATTATGTAACATTAAAAAGACCAACATATCAATCCTGTATATTTTTAAACGTAAAATATGAGAGATTTATCATCGCGTAAAGCGTCTTTTTATTACGTTGAATAATGGATTGCATTAAATATCGATACGGCAAAGTTTAATAACATGAAGATATACACATAAGCCGCCGATCTCTATGGAAAATATCGAACACAGCGCTAAATAAAGCTGTACCCGACGTGACACCGTCGGTAATCGAACCAGACACTTTGAAACGACATCTGCCGGTCGACGCACGCAAAAAATATCAAAGGTATAATGCGCCTGTGTGTATGTGAGTGTGTGGATTTTTTTTCATACGTCCCGACATCATTCATCGGGCCAATTTTTCTGTTAATCATGTCAAAACTCGAAAACGCTTTCGCGAATCTCCTATAGAAAGAAAGGATCGATGTAAACACTTAGCGACACAATGACATTTGGGGATGTCAAAATTGTTTTGTTGTGTGTTTTTTTTTTCAAATTTCGAGTGTCGCGGATACTGGTCTCGGATAGTGGGTAATTCTAAATGTGTTTGACTGAAGTAAATTATGTTTAGGGAGAACTTAGCGGCGACTGTTTGGATTAAGTTTTAGATTAAGTGTAACGCTATCAACACATCACACTAAGAGACTTGAATTGGTGCATAAAATTAAATTTTTATTTTTAAAAAGTACAGTATTATTTTGACTAGGTATTTCATCATGAACTTACCCTGAATTAAAAAGTCGACAGTCGTAATCGATAGTGAATAAATGGGTAAATTAAGGTTTAACTGAATCTTGATAATAAATCAAAAGATTTATAACTCAAATCTTGAATATACGTTATTGTAATACTAAAAAGTTTATTATTTTAAAAAAATCATAGTCGAATAAAATTGAAATCATCTTATTATAATACTGTTTTCAAATATGGCTCCACATTCATATGCTGAAATATTCTACGAAAATATACGTGTATAAGATACTTACCTATCTATACGGTGTAACAAGAGGATGGGCGCAAAATTGAAATGCCGAGGGTTCGGAAGATTCAGCGCCAAAGGGGCTATTTTTATGACTACCCACGCAATGGCCCACTGGGCAAATAGGTGAGAGGAATGGATGATACACTCACATATGCGCTAGAGCGAGACGGATGCTCACCGCTGCGTAGCCTAGTCGTAACGGTCGAATGGGCGTTCTGTTTCTTACCGACGCGGAACAAAAATACGCGGGACAATCGATTCGTTCTCGACGCCATAATGCCCTAAGTCGCAACTCCATTGCGTACAATAATCTTTTTAAGAAACATCTCAATTGTCGAACTTAAAACGTCAACACGTTGTCTATTAATGTCATCATGTACTTCTTTTTATATTCTTATGTTTTTTGCTTACATAT